CTTAACCCCCAAAACCAATAGATCAAAAATCCACCATGGCTGAAACTTCATCACCACCACCCCATCATCTCCGACCATGGCTAGCCTTGAAATAACTACCAAAATACTCCTCTACCTCCCCACAACACAGCCATGCCAACCAAATTAACCAAAGTGACCTCAAACTCAAAACCCATTTCATAAAAACTTAGAACCCAAAAATTTAAAATATGAATTCGAGCAATTGTAGTATATGATATGAAATTCTAATGATACCAGGAGATTCCTAGCCCTCAAATTGGCCTAGTAGCATACCTTTAATCGTTCGAGGTAGTTTCTTTCACAAATCCAAAATTCCAAATTTTATTTTGTCTCTCTAGCTTCTCTCTTCTCCCTCTCTCCTTTCTTAGCGGTTCTAGCTTATCCATAGACTTGCTGAACTTCTTAAGCAACTCTTTAATCACTCTGGAAGCTTGGAGAAGGCTGAGGAGAACTCCTCTACTACCAAGCAACAGCTTGGAAACAAATGTCATGCAATGATATTTTTGTAAATAACTCAATTTTTTTTATAATTATAAACCTATTAAAACATGCACTATATAAAAAAATATTTGCCTATATTTTTTTTCGTACTAATGCATGCTCGGGTTTTACAGTGGTGGTGTTGGTGGTGGTATGTTGCTGTTGGTGGTGGTGAAAGGGTGATGGAGGTGTGGTGAATGTGGTGGTGGAAGTGTGATTGTGTTGGTAAAAATGTGGTGGTGGTGTGGTGAACGTGGTGGTGGGAGTGTGATGGTGTTGGTGAAAGGGTGGTGGAGGTGCGGTGAACGTGGTGGTGGGAGTGTGATGATGTTGGTGAAAGGGTGGTGGTGGTGTGGTGAACGTGGTGGTGGAAGTATGGTGGTGGATGTGGAAGTATGATGGTGGTTATGGTATGCTGCATCACAAGTGAAGTCGACTTCAATTGACCGTGTCTGCTTCAACTTCACCCTAGACTCGTGTCGCATAGTGTAGGAAGACTAACAAGTGGTCGAGTTAATTTATGAGCGAGTAGCTATTATAAACAATACCTTGCTATTTTTGGATTCTTCCTCCACTCACCTCCACAGGCGAATATAGTCTACTACACTAGCCAAGAAAGAGTCTAGTAAACTATATTATAGGTCATTTGGAAAGAAAATGTATAGTTATATTTTAGGGTGTAACGTTGTGGTTGTTTCCCCGATTGATTGAGAAAAACAAGTTATTTTTTTTTGCTTGAATCCTGGGCTAGCGATGCATGGAGCAATTGCCCCAGAAAAACAAATTCAAGAGTCATCTTCCATTCATATCGATTTGGATTTTTCTGCACCATATTTTGATTTGCCTCTTCTTCGTTCAAGAATTTTGTTTCTCCATGTGGAGAGGCATCCTCCTGGTTTGAAAGGTGTCAAGACACTAGTGCAATTCTGATCATCATCTAATTTTAGGTATTGTCCTCTTTTTTAGAATTCAAAATTTCTGATATGTTATGTATTCATAATTCTTCCTATTTTTCTTGATTTTTCTACATGAACAAGTTCATTCCTAATTTGAATCTCTTCCTTCGCTATCGTTCATGACTGGTATATGAATTTCTTTATGTAGTGGTCGGGCTTCTAAAAGTTTCACCAGAATCGACTAGTCGTTTTCCGTGGTGGCAATGGTATTTTCTAAATTCTGAAAATATTGTTTAAAAAAATACAAAAAACAGTTTTAACTTATTTTCTAAATCTATCTAATTTTTGTTCTTAATTTTCAAAAAAAAAAATGGCTGAACAATTTTTCTTTCATAAATTGTTTTCGAAAATAGTAAATAATTTCGAAAATGCAAACCAAAAAAAAACCTTAGACAATTGTGGATAATTTAACACATTTATGAATATTTTTACCTCTATTATAAATGTTTTTACTATTATTGTAATACTTATTTTTATCATTTTTTTTGATAGTACAATAATGATAAAAAACACACATAATAATAAAAATACTTACAAATATAATAAATATCAATATAATAACAAATTATTTTTTTGTCTTAGACTTCGATACGTAGAAACAAGTTTTCAGACATTACAAGTGCTAATATGATGTGCATGATTGCAACCAAAGGATGACTACACGGAGACAGAGAGATCTTCGTCTTTTCTTTTTCTGTTTTTTATCTGGTGGACATGGTTCGGTGCCAAGATCTTTTTGCATGGAGCGTATGAGTGTGTGGCTGAGCAAGGCCATATAGGTACACAATGGAAAACGTTTGTTGCGCCGACACCAATGTTATGCAGACCAAAACTGCAGATAATTCGCGGGATCACGTGGATCTCATAATTGGTACGATAATTGCATATGATTTCAAGTATATTTTTGATACACATAATTTTATCTCAACACTTACTCAATAGTTTAGTTGACCATTAATATACGATTAAAATGAGTTTATACACAAATATTTACTTATTCTTAAGGGTATCTCTAATTTTTAATTTTTTCTTTAAATTTAAATTTAAATTTAGACAAAAAATCTTAAAAATTCTATACCTAAATTTATATCAAATCAAAAAGACTCAAGCTATTACTTAAATATCCAACGGTTAGATTTCATTAATTTTAAAAATATAAATGTTGTCTGGGGCCATACCTCAACCTTATAAATAGGGGTGATCACCCTACCCTACGAGTAGAAAATATGCTCTTTCATCTTCCTACCCGATACTTTGCGGAAGAGTTTTTTCTTGGTCTACCCTACCCGACTTCCTACCCGATTAATCGGGTAGGAAGTCGGGTAGAAAATTGGGTAAATATTTTTGTAATAATTAATTTTTGGATCATTTTAACAATTTAATTAAATAACACGTACCAATTTAACAGCACAATAAATCAATTAACACTCAAATCTAAAACAACTACAACAACAATTATAATAAAACACAAGAAAGTATAAATTTCAATCCACTACAATTGTTACACAAATACAATAACAATTAATTTAAGTTTAAACTTTAAACCATATGAAATACATTAAAATCATAATTGCTCCGCCTGTGGTTAGGGTTTAGGATTTTTTTAGTTTATATATATTAAAAAATTATTGCAGGTAGGGTAGGATGATTTTTGTGGTTAACCGTTCAGTAGGGTAAGGTATAATCGGATAAGGTAGAAACTTGCGGCCGGTCGAAAATTTGAACACACCCGCTGCTTATAAATGTAGGTATCAATGGAACATATTATATGCGTCACATGGCTGCTAATCAGAAGTTGACTGTGCTTGGAAAAGTCGCTGCCGCTCACTTTCTTCAACATAATTTGGCTACCTTTCTCCCACATCCAACGCCTAATATTCTACGAATTCCGTTGTTCCAAAACCCACTTCATGGAAACCCTCATTCCTAACCTCAAAGACTCTCTCTCCCTCGCTCTCAAACACTTCTTCCCACTTGCCGGTAACTTGGTGTTTTTCTTCAAGTTCTAGCAAGCCTCAAATTCAATACGAGGAGGGCGACTCCGTTTCACTAACCTTTTCTTAGTCCGAGTCGTTCTTTGATTTCATTGATCTTGTAGGGAATCATCCAAGAAAGGCCATCGATTTTCACCCTTTTGTTGCTCAATTTCCACTAGTTGCTAAATCATCAGATTCTATGAGAGTCCCAGTGCTCTCTCTCCGAGTGACATTATTTCCAAACAAGGGCCTATGTTTGGGATTGACCAATCACCATGCTGTTGGTGATGCAAACTCCATTTTCAATTTCACGAAGGCATGGACTTTGATAACTAGGTGTGGTGTAGGGGTGGCAATCGTGTTGTGTTGTGTCGTTTCCAGGTCGTGTCATATTTTGATTGGGTTGAAAACACATTAACCCAAACACGACCTGTGAGTTAAACGGATTAAATAATTTGGACACGAACACGACTTATCTCGAAACATGACTAACCCGACACGATCTGTGACACTAGATTTACACGGGTCGTGTTCAGGTAAACACGACTCAAACCCGCCTAACACGATCCAACCGACACGACCCAACTCGACATGACATAAAAAAAAAAATTAGATTTGTTTTACATGAAACAAAGGCATTAAAAATATCACAAATATCCCAAAATAAATACATCCACAACATTACAAATATTCAAAAAGTTTTACAAATATCCCAAAGTAATATTACAAGCATCTTGCCAAAAATCATACTAAGTCGGCCATTACATTCACAACAGAACTCTCACGTTAGAATGAAATCCTCTTCATCAAATCTTCTTCATCTCCTAAATCTGGCCAACATCCTGCCAAGAAACATACTAAGCTTTTAACTTCAATAAATATAGAATGGTTGTTGTGACAAAAAATAAAAACAAACGCATAAGATTGAGAAAAAAAGTTAGGTTTTATGACTCACACACATCAACAATCAAGATCCACAATCACATTTGAACATTGCACGGATGCATCCTCATTTTTGTTCAAAGTTGGATTCATTACATCTTCTACCAGCTCTTCCAATTACACTTGTGAATTTTCTAAATAACAATAAGGAAAGCATATAAATAAAAATTCAATATTTGTAAAAAAAATTAAATATCGTAGTCATCACAAATTATATTTATTATCTTTTTTTGTATATAACCAATCCCTAGTGCACATCAAAGCCTCCACAACATGAGGCTTCAAAGCACTATGGTATTGGTCAAGAACCCGACCACCAATACTAAAAGCTGATTTTGAAGCAACCGTAGAAATTGGAATAGTTAACACATCACGAGCCATAATAGCAAGTTCCAGATTACGATACTGATGAGCTCTCCAATAATCAAGAACAAGAAGTTCTGTTTCTATGTCAAACCTAGGCTCATCCAAATACAATTGCAATTGACTTTTTTGTGTTTTAAGATCAGATGCATTCCTCTCACTGACAAATGCCTACATTATCAAAATCACAGACTTTCAAATCATAGACTATCAATATTATTAATCTAATACAATAAAAACTATAAATCAAAAAATTAAATACCTTCAAATCTAACACAGGTTGTGTGTTCAAGATTAGCTCACAAGCAACTACACCACCACGGGGAACAGTCGATGATTGAGAAGAAGAGGTGACAACAAATTTGCTCGTATACTCATCAAATAGAGAAAAACGTTTGTCTTGAACATGAAAATACTTAAGAGAGCCTTCAACATAAAGCTTCTTATAGCACCACTCCACAAAGTCAAGTTTATAGCGAGGATCATACACAATTGCAATGACCAATATCACGCTATACTCCAACCAATACTTCTCATAAAAGTATCTAAACTTTGCATTTCTTTATTCAAAGTCAATTGAATACTGAAAACTTGTTGAAAGTACAAGTTTGATGTGGGGTACTTGGAGCCAGAAAAAATAACAGTAGTATCATAGAAATTTTTTAAAAACATCTGAATCTTTTCAACTTTGATCCATTCTTCTTGAGATGGGCAATGCTTAAAATTAGAATCCACAAGTTGCAAATGACAAAAGGCATGATGGTAGTAAATTGCACTTGCAAGCATCAAATATGTTGAGTTCCATCTAGTAGGAACATCTTGCCTCAAACTTTTTTTGCTATCTAAAGATGTTTGTGCAACACACTCTAAGAATTTTTGTTTTCTTGCTTGAGAACCTTTTACATACTTGACACTCTCTCTGAATTTTTCCACAACTAAATCTATTTCTTTTCAACCCCTCTTGCACAAACAAGTTTAGAATATGAGCACAACATCGAATATGAAAAAACCCACCATCACCAAGCAAAGCATCTATCAAATTAAGTTTATTTGTAAGCATATCAACCATGACATCATTTGTAGAAGCATTATCCAAAGTAATTGAAAATAACTTTTTCTCAACCCCCCATTTTTTCAACAAACCATAAATCTTCAGAATTCTATTTTGCAATACCCAATCTTTGTCGATGAAATGTGCTGTGAGACTTAAATACCCATCGGTAGCAATAGATGTCCACAAATCAAAAGTCAAACTAATCCTACCAGGTAAGTCATGCAAGATAACAGACAACCTACGCATCTCTTTTGCATGCAATTTTAGAATATCAGCCTTAGCCGTGTTTCTTGTAATAAATTTGACATCTAGATTTAAGTAGCTAAAGATTTGTCTCACACATTCATACTCAACAAACTGAAAGGGCAAATCATTTCTAATTACTACACGTATTAACATTTCTCAAAATTTTTCCTCGTTAACCTTCAAAGACCGTGCAATAATAGACCCTTGACTTTAACTTAAAATTAACTGGCTCACATCACGTTGTTTCAAACAAGTCTCTAAATGACGCCACAAATTACCAGTTCCATACTTACTAGCAGCATTATACTCAATCTTACATTTGTTGCATTGTGCCTTTGTAACATTGTCTTGATTTACATACTTTCTAAAATACCCCCATACCTCTGATGTGGAAGTACGTTGCCACTTTTCATCATTCTTATTATCTCCACTTTCTGTATCTGGGCAGCATTGAATGTATTCTCAAGCTCAATATTGACATCTACAGTCGGTTGAGTACATGATGTATCCTCCATTTTTTTGGACAATTAGAAAAATTAGAAACGTAATGAGATTCCAGAAATTAGAAACGAAATGAACAGAAAGCTTCAGGTGATCAACACATCAAGTTAGAGTGTACACAGTGGAAGTAATTAGTAATTATCCATGTTCAATGGGAACATAAATTATTGGAGAGTTCAATGGGAACATAAATTAATTTTAGTATCCATGTTCACCTTATCCTGTTAGAGATCAACATCAAGATCCTGAAAGTCCTGGAAAGAGAATACCAAAAAGTCCACTCAAAAGATGAGTAAAGTTTGGCATAGCTTAGCAAGGGTTTGATGATACCATCAAACCCGAGCCTTTTCATTGGCTTTGAGATTTGTGAAATTAGTAACCAATAACAAAACCTGTGTACATGAGTAATTATCTCAAGCTAGAGGCCATACTAAATGCAATAACAATTTCAAGCTGCTCTGTTTCACCATATTAACAATTTCAAACTACTCTGTTCCGCTGGTCGCCAAGAGAGATCGCCAAAAATATACGCCAAGATAAAAAACAACGCCAAGAGGAAGAGACAGAGAAAGAGAAAGAACGAGAGAGAGAGAGCTAATCTGGTCTGGTCCGTTGGTTGCCAAGAGAGATCGACTGGAGTCTGGACAGAGAGAATGAGGGAAGGGAAGTGACTGGACAAAGGTAAGGAGGGATGCAGCTGGACGGAGGGAAGGAAAAAAATGAAGTTAGGGTTTGGAAAAAAACAATTAAATGCTTTATATAGTGGTGGGTCAATTCCGAGTCAAAACAGGTCAGCGGGTTCGTGTTAACCCAATTAAATATACGGGTCAATTTGGATAAATTCAGGTTAAGCGAGTTGAACCTGAACACGACCCATAAAAATTTCGTGTTGACGAGTCGTGTCATATACAGGTCGTGTCAAAAAATTAGTCAATCCAAACCCATTTATTCGTATTGTATTTCGTATCGGATTATCATGTCGTGTCAAAAATTGTCACCCCCTAGTGTGGTGGAGATGACCCATTTCTAGCAGGTGGGTCCCAACCTATATTTGATAGGACTTTTGATCAAAGACCCGAAAGGGTTAGACTCCATTTTTCCGAGTCGACAGGGAACAACCACACTAGAGCAACAACTTCCCAGCAACAGTGATAAGTTTAGAGCTACCTTTATAATGAGCAGGACCAATATCCAGAGATTAAAGAGCTTGGTCATGGCCAAAAGACCCGGATTGGTTCATGTATCAACTTTTACAGTAATATGTGCTTATTTATGGGCTTGTATGGTGAAATCAAAAGCCGCAATTGGGGAGGAGGGTGATGAAGATGACCCCTATCACTTCGTATGTGCGGGAGACACTCGGGCCCGTTTGGATCCACCTATTCCAGCTACTTACTTTGGTAATATTGAAATTGATCAGTTAGAATATTTTTTTTATTTTGTTATTAAGCAAGTCGGGTACTCTCTTGAATCTAGTGATTGACCACCATGATTTTAGGAACATATTTCTTAAAAGGACGAGGATGGCTCTCTTTAGCTTAGAGATTGGTGATCGTGCTTTAAATTGAATTAAAATATATCCCGATCCAACTACTACACCACACTTAAAGGTTTAAACTCACCCTCATAGTGAAACATAACTCCTATCTAAATAATTAAGTTTATTCTGGCAGGTAACTGCGTAGTAGCAGCATGCATTGTAACTGTAAACTGTAGGAAACTAGTGGAAGACGAAGGTTTCATATTTGCAGCGGTGGCGATCGGAGAGGACATTCGTGAGAGGTTGTACAATGAAGAGGGAGTGTTGAAAGATGCAGAAAATTGGCTGTCGGGCGGGAAAGAAATTATGAGGGAGAGAACTGTTGGGGTAGCTGGGTCTCCCAAGTTCAATTACTATGATATTAATTTTGGGTGGGGAAAGCCTAAGAAGTTCGAATTTGTGTCTATAGATATTACAGGAGCAATGTCCTTAAATGGTTGCAGAGATTTAGATGGAGGCATAGAGGTTAGCTTGTCCTTGCCTAAAGCTCAAATGGATGCTTTTGCTACTATTTTTGCTGGAGTTCTCTAAATTTTATAAGCATTAAGGATGGTTGTTACAATACAAATAACATATAGAAGGTACTACTAATTCCCTCTGGTCATATGAATTGAGGGCAGTGGTAGAAGGATTCCTGTTATATTTGTGTAAGAGATAAAAATTGAAAATATCTCTCACTAAAGGTTGAATTTGATATTTCTGGTAAAAAATATTTTTGAACTTGATCTCTCAATCTTCTCTTTTTGCCAAACGAGCAAACTGTCCAAGATCGAAGTACTTCGATACTTAAGTCAGTAATGGAATAGAGAAGACTATGAGAGTTTAGCACACCTTTTACCATGGTTCCTTGTTCATTTTATAGACCTCCCTTTGGTTAAGGTTTCCATGGTTTTCGTTTCAAGGTGGCACACCTTCCTTCCGTTTAGCGATTTAGTTTGGGAAGCTGCTGAAATCTCTCTAGCAGTTCCCTTGGCTTAGAATCAAGCTCATTTGCTTATCTTGGATGCCTAAGTTATAGGCAAATCTTTATCTTTCCATCTTCTATTGAAACAGCTCAGTCATGACAAGTGCTGACCTTTTTCATTACTCCCTGACACCTTGGTCAGTATAGTTTGGTAAGAACTGAGCTCTTTCTCTACTTGTCGAGCTTATTGACCAGTTCGGCTAGACCTATTTGATTCAGTGACCAATGCCTCCCTCACGTGCCTTGTCTCGTCATCCTCAGGTGAGCTCATTTAATGTCATAACACGTATAATAAAGGGAGCTACCCCCTTCATTTGCCCATAGAAAACGTCTGGCAGACGCCTTTCAGTTATGAGCCATTTTATGCCTCCTCGTCATCATTGCACGTACTTCATGACATCCCCCTTTGTCCTAGCGGCATGCTCAGTATTAAAATATTGCCTTTTAGAATTCTCCCTCTTTATAAACGATTTCTCTTCGTTTTTCTGTCATTTTGCCTTCTCAGTTGCAGACTCATCTCTTCCTTTGTATCTTCACCATCTCTCTTCTTTCTACATTCATCTTCTTCAGTGGCTCCTCTTATTTCCTCATAAATTCCAGCCTTTAAAATTAAGTACAATATTCCAGATGATGTTGACGTAAGAGTTGCTGGAAAGGGTGAACCTCTAATAGGCATGAGAGAAAGTATCCCCATTCATACTCGAGCGATCACCGTAGGTGGGGTTCGATTCCCTTTAGACCCTCTCCTTCTATGGGTGCTTTCTGCGACAAAATTCTGCCACATCCAATGCTGCCCCAACTTTTTCAGAATTGTGATGGGGGTGGCTGTCTTGCACAAACTTCTAGGCCTGGATCTTGGTTTATGGGAGATTCTCTTCTGCTACATCATCGGAGACAACTATTATCTGGCGGTGAGGAAGAAGGGCCAATATTTGGTCACTCATCTTCCCAACTCTAACAAAGGTTATGAAAATGATATTGTTTTTGTTTTCGGGAATTGGGAGTATGTTGCTGGTGCCACTCCCTCCTGTCGTTGCCCTTACGAAGAAGGCGCTCTAGGTATTCAACTTTTTTACTCTTCTAAGTTAGCTTGTTTTCATACTGTTTTCTGACAAGTTTTCTTTTGTTCGAAGGCGAGACTGTGAAAAGCAGGATCCCTGAGTTTTTTGTGAAAATGGACGAGCTCAAAAGAGTTTGGGGCTACAATGAGTCCTTATTCTGCCGAGCTGCCCATACCCTGCTAGGCAATTCCCCGACTTATACATCTTTCATTGTTGTATCGAACCGTCCAAATGCCACACTCGCCAAGGATAGAGAAACAATCCAAATTGTTCAAGAACAAACACCCTGAGCTCGTAAACGAGCCTTGCCAGTCGGTTATGGATGGAGGGTTGTGAAGAATTTTCTTGATTTCTTTTCAACGGTTGAACCAACCCTTTCCACCGAACCGAAAATTCCTGAAAATTTTTGTGCTAGTGATTCCTATTCATGAGGAGGAGCCTACAGCTGAGGTTCCTACTGAATCTTTTTTTCCTGAGCCCAATGATGCAACTCTGCCAGTTGATGATCTGGCAGGCTTGGCTTGGGTTGCAGAAACTTCATTTCCTATAAATTTGGATCCTGCTTCTTCTGTTCAGTCTCCTGTTTATGAAGATGACTCAATTTTTGAACTTCCTGAAGACCTAGTCCCAAAGAGACAAAAAACTCTTGAGTCTAAGGCAAGTCCCTCTCCTAAGCATGCCAATCCTCCTTTTCAGCCAGTCCTTAAAGCAAAAAAAAAAAAAGAGATCAATATGAAAGATTCCATAATCAAGGATTTCAATGTGGCGGTTGGGATTGCTGGCTTTGACAGATAACAAAGTGTCTCAACAAGCTATTCAACACATGGTTTTGGTAAGATTCGTTCTCCTTTTACCAATTTTCTATGTCTTTGCTTCTTTTTCCAAAATTTTGTCCAAGTCTTTTTCTCTTTTCAACCAAGGGTTTGCAAAAAGTTCATAAGATCGAAGCTAGGATAGCCAGAAAGGATAAGGCAATGAGGAATACTATCCATACCCGAGCTTCAGCCCTGGCCAAGAAGGAGTCTCTAGATGAAGAGTATGTCAATCTTTGCGAAGAAGCTAAGGTTCTGCGGGCTCAAAATCAAAGCCTGACCGAGGTTGGGCTGCTAAAAGATTCTGAACACGAGGTGAATGTAGAGCTTTTCCAAGCGCAGCTTGATTACACCAGTCTTTTGGAAGAATTTGAGCAGTTCAAAGTGGAAACAAAGGGAAGGGAAGATGCTGCATATGATGAGGGAATTGAAAAAGCAGAGAATGATTTGGCTTTGCAGATCCCTCAACTCCTAGATGCTTTCTTTAACAAGGATTTGCAAGTCGCATTGACTTCTGCTGGAATTCCTTCTTCTTTTGAAATTTTTTCAAGGCATTCTCTTCCGAACTCTTCCCAACCTCCTGCTTCATGAAACACTTAGCAAATTTTATGCAATTTCTGATGTAGATGTTCTCAGATTTGTGTACTTTTTGAAGCTTGAATGAAAATCACTTTTTGTCATTTTTGTTTATGTAGCCACTCTTTGAAGTTTAAATAAAAATCTCATTTTTGTAATTTTTTCAGCCTTTTTTCAAAGAGAACTTAGAAAAATTTTTAACTTTTGAAGTTATGGCCCTTGCTCGACCCTTCTTAAAGGGCTTGGTTCCTCAACAAGAACCTATACTTAGAAAAAGTTTAACTCTTGAAGTTATGACCCTTCTTTAAAGAGCTCGGTTCCTCAATAGGAACCCAAATAAACTTAGAAAGAATTTTAACTCTTGAAGTTACAGCTCTTGCTCGGCCCTTCTTCAAAGAGCTCGGTCTTTCAATAGGAACTTATACTTAGAAAAAAATTTAACTCCTTAGTTATGGCCCTTTCTCGGTCCTTCTTCAAAAAGTTCGATCTCTCAATAGGAATCTATACTTAGAAAAAATTTTTACTCTTGAAATTATGGCCCTTGCTCAGCCCTTCTTCAAAGAGCTTGGTTCCTCAATAGGAACCTATACTTTGAAAAATTTTAACTCTTGAAGTTATGACCCTTGTTCGGTCCTTCTTCAAAGAGCTCAGTTCCTCAATATGAATCTAAATAAACTTAGAAAAAATTTTAACTTTTGAAGTTATGGCCCTTGCTCAGCCCTTCTACAAAGGGCTCAGTCTCTTAATAGGAACATATACTTAGAAAAAATTTTAACTCTTAAAGTTATGGCCCTTGGTCGGTCGTTCTTCAAAGAGCTCAGTCTCTCAATAGGAACCTATACTTAGAAATTTTTTTTAACTCTTTTATGGCCCTTACTCGGCCCTTCTTCAAAGAGCTTGGTCTTCTGGTAGAGTTACGCATAGTCCCCTTAGGCATTTAAGAGCGTTTCTACCCCGCATCGACCCGTCAATCAAATTAGACTCAAATCCATCCCTAATCAGTTTACATCATCATGCCTAGCTGAGGGCTTGGATTAGATCGGGTGGCTGCGCCTTATTCAAGTTTGTAACTTCTATTAGGATTTTTTGTCTCCCTGCCTTAGTAGTAGGACGTACATATCAAGAGAAGAAGAGCAAGAATAAGATTATGAATCTTCAAAAAAGCTATTATTAATAATCTCTACTCATATCGGTACATTTTGCTCAACTCAATACTTAATTTATTCTTAAGAGGCACTCTTAAGCTACCGAAGGTACTTCGAAGTTCCATTAAAAAAAAGTACTTTTTAGAAATAAAACTGTCTCAAGTTAGTAGAGTTCCAAGGGGTGTGGCACTGCTTTATAGTCTAAGGTTTCGAACTCATAATAACCACTGCCCCTAACTTGGGCTATTCTGTGTGGTCCCTCTCAATTTGCTCTAAGCTTTCCATGGGTAGGGTTTTTAGTTGATCCTAATACACGTCTAAAGACCAAGTCTCCTAGTGTGAAAGACCACATATTTACTTTCTTGTTATAAGTTCGGAACATTTGTTGTCGATAAGAAGCCATCCTTATTGTTGCTTGCTCTCTTTTCTCTTCTGTCAGATCCAAATCTTAGGTCATAACGGCATCATTACTATTGCTTTCAACTAGCTCGGTTCTCAGAGTCGGTAAGCCAATCTCCAATGGAATTACTGCCTCTATCCCATAGGCTAGAGTAAACGGGGTTTCTCTAGTTGATCGTTGAGGTATGGTTCGGTACGTTCATAGGACACTCGACAATTCTTCAACCCATCTTCCTTTGGCGTCCTCTAACCTCTTCTTGATTCCATCCAAGATTGTCTTGTTGAAAATCTCTACTTGTCCGTTACTCTGAGGGTAAGCTGGGGTGGAATAATGATTCTGAATTCCAAAAAATTAACAAAATCATTTGAAGGGACTACTATTGAACTATGTGCCGTTATCCAAAACAAGTGCATGTGGAATTTCGAATCTGGTGATGATGTTCCTCCAAACGAACTTTCTTGTGTTAGTATCTCTGATGTTGGCTAAGGGCTCGGTTTTCACCCAATTTGTGAAATAATCAGTTGCAACTAGTAGGTACTTCTTATTGCTAGGGGCTTGAGGTAAAGGGCCCAT